AATTGACCCCAAATGGGTGTAAAATGAAGGGGAAATTTGGTCACATATTCTACTTAAAAAATTAATTTGAATAATACACGTTTTAATTAATTAAATCTTTTAAACAAGTAATTCATATGTTCTAAACTATTAAAACCCCAAATCTATAACAGTAACCTCGATGGAAAACGAGGAAATACCTGCTTATAGCCTAAATAGAATAGTAAATTGTGAGATTAGACCTGAAAATATAATCATTTGAAAAATAGTCTTTGAAAAATAATCTTTTCAAAAATACCCCCTCATAAAGAATTTGCAACCAATGTCATTACAATGTATAAAAACCTTCAATTAGGTCCCCAAAGAAATATAGATCATGAATCTTTAATAAATTTAACCCCAAATATTATACAAAATTTTATTGATCTAAGAAATGCAACAGTTGATGAATTAAATTATCTAAAAGAATATCTGAAGAGTTTCTTTACAGAATATTTAGATCCAAAATTAAAATGTAAAAATGCTTATATAGATAATAGAGCAATTAAAATAGAAAATAATATACATAAACAAATTCTTAAACTGGAAGGAAGAATTAACAAATTAAATATAATTATTAAAGAAAAGGTTTTGACAAAAGATAGTGAATTTTATAAATTCTATTGTAATATTTTAAATACTTATGAAGAATTTAATTGGACTCAAAATCTTAACCCCTCTGCTGCACGCTCTGACGAAATGGTATCAGAGTCATGTTATGAACCTAAAATTATGATGAATATAGAAGATGAAGAAAAAATAATTGAAGAATTTTTGAAAAAAGTTGAAAAACATAAAAAACCAAGTTATCCCTATTTACTTAAAAATACTACAAATGAAAGTTTTGAGGATATACACAAAAGATTAGAAAATTTAGAATATAATCTACAAATAGAAAACGCTCTTTTAGATAAAAATCTTAAAGGAAAAGATATGATTATACTTAATCCACCTCAAGATTTTAGGATTACACAAAAAGAAAAAAATAAAGAGAAAAAATATGAAGAAAATCAATATATGATTACAGATGCAGAAGAACTAGAACAAAAATTCTTAGAATCTACTGGTGAAGAGCATGATGAATATAAAAAACAGTCAGAAAAATTAACTGAAAAAATGGAAAATACAAAGATGAATACTAGTTCATCAACAAATCAAAATATAAAAATAGAATTCAGTAGTGATGAAGAATACGATTATCCTTATTACACAACAATACCTTTTAAAGAAGATATTAATCAATATAGAAAAACACAAAAGAGATACACTGGAAATATAAGAAAACAATCCATAAAAGAAACAAATCTAATGAAATCTTATAATGAACCAATCCACACAACAGGAATATGGTTAGATCAAGATTGTGTAGATAAAAATAAAGCTATTGAAACATGGATGAAAACTACAGATTTAGCAATATAATTTAATAAATGGGAAACATATACAACTTTTGGATTTGTAGAACATAAATTTAGAAGAATTGTTTCTGAATGGTGGAGAAAGTTACGAGAAGCTATAAAAGGAAGAATAAAGTATAGAGAAAATAGAACTGAAGTATTAGATAACAGGAATACTTTAAATGATCAAAACATACAAGAAATATTAAAAATGTTTGAAAAAGCCTTAAGAACAGAGTTCTTGGGAGATAGATATGCTTCTAATGAAAAAGATAGAAAACAAGATGAATATAATGAAGGAATGATAGCAATGAAAAATTTAAAGATAAGTGATATGTGTGAATTAGAAAGATATACATGTAAATTTGAAGAATTATACTATATATTAAATAAAAGAGATTATCAAGAAAATAAGCCTATATTAAAATCTTATTTTGCTAAGTTACCATTCCCATGGGGAATTAAGTTATTGAAAGAATATGAGAAATTATTATCTATAGGAAAAGAGGAAGGAGTAAAAATAGATAGTTTTGGAAGTAGGATTGAATTTACAAAAAGAATGATAGGCATGTGATGCAAAGAAGCTTTAAAAAGTAGGAAAGCATATAAAATAAGTAAGAATTCCTTGTGTTGTTACAAAAATATTGGCCAAATTGAACAATTTGGATGCCATAAGAAAAAATATAAACCATATAAGAAATATAAAAGAAAATTCAAAAACTACAAGAGATTCAAGAAAATAAATTTTAAACCACACAAAAAATATTTCAAGAAAAGAAGCTGGAATAAAAAATCTAAACCAAGAAATATTTAAAAATGTAGATGTTTCATCTGTAATAAAGGACATATTGCCCCTCAATGTCCTAAAAAGAAGGATAGACAGAATATAAAAACTCTTAGAATTTATGAAAAATTTCAAAATGATAGTGATATAGAACCAATTGAATATTTTGGAAATTTAAGTAGTGAATGCAGTAGCATTTATGAATTAGATACATTCTCATCAGAGGAAGATTCCGAGAAGATAGTATATATAAATCAAGAGATACAACAAGCAGATCTAGAAATAGAAGTTGAAATAATTGAAAAAGTTGAAGACTCGATAGAAGGTATAAATCAAGAAATTACCTTTGATATAAAAAAAATACAAAGGAATAACCAAGAAAATATTAGACCTATAAGCAAAAAATGTATTCCATCAAGGATTCCTAGAAATACTACCAAGAGTAAATAAAACAATTGTAAGTATGAATTATAAAGAAATGTCTATCAATATAAAAGATACTATAGAAAGAGCAAGAATTCCTATAATCACAAAAGAATGGGTAAAACAAAAGTTATCCAAAATTTCGGAAAACATAAGAAACAAACTGAAATATATTGAAATAGAAGGAGTTCAGATAATGATAAAAGGATTCTTTAGAGAAAGTATGAATATACCAATAGAAATATATTGTATGGATAACAGAATCTTACAATATCCTATAGATGCTCTATTAGGAACAGTTGTAGAAAACTTAGTCTATCAAAAGATAACATTTACAGTAAAACCAAATAATGCAATATCACTAATTGATGAAAATATTGATCAAAGTTTCAATCTATATTATAAAATTTGAAATTTGAAAATGTTACGAAAAAGTAAAGCTATTAGTATAAACATAAAATCAATTTTTACTTTTAGTAATAGCCATCATAACAATTTAAGAAAAATAACTGATAATATTATCATAAATAAAGACTTTTGAGGAATTAGCGCAATATATACTTCCTAGGAAATACCAAGAACATGAAGTCACTATACCAAAACAGATAATGTTTGATTTCCACAAACAAGCTATAGAAATTAATTTTGAAGGAAAATTAATAAGAAGAAATAGTGTCAGCCTAGAAGGAGATAACCTCATTGCAATATTCCCCTCTAAACAAGACTCTAAGATAAGTAAACTCAAGAAATTAAGTATTGATGAACCATCAAGTTCACAATATTATATCAAAACAAGATATGTAAATCAAGAAGGATATAAGAAGAATCTTCTTATCCTCATAGACACTGGAGCAGATAAAAGTCATGTAAATGCTAAATTTGTAAGTCATTTAATAGATTTTGAACTGCCAGAACCATATATATTCAAGGATTATTTGAGAAATAATCTTGAAATAAGAAAATATGTAAAGTTTCCTCTTATACTTATAGGAGAAGATCACAAAGAATATACTAAAGAAATAATTTTATCTAAAGATGAATTATATGGAGTTGATCGTTCACCTATATTACTAGGAATGAACTTTTTTGAAAAACATAGTCCTTATAAAATATGTCAAGGATATTTAAAAATAACAATTGATGATAATCCAATC